CATTCATTTATTATTGCCAATTAAATCATGCTTAATTCTTTCTGGAATTTTTTCGAGGAAATAAGCGTTTGAGATTTACTTCGTAATTTTTAATATAGATATTTTGAGTTTTTATGTATTTTTGCCTCCTCGCGAAGTGAGAACTGAATTAATTAAATGAGAAAAACTGTTTCTGTTTTGTTTTGTTTGCTTAATTTCTTTTATACATAGTTCTAGTTTTATTTGAATAGAACATGTGACAACGACTAGATAATTCTTTAAATGATATACATTTTGTGCATTCTGAGTTATATATGAATGAAATATAATACTGTTAAGTAAACCTACGCCATAGTGTCGCTATGGTAAACAAATATAGTGACTTTTAAAGAGTGCAATTTATTTCTATTGTGGTTTATGTGCTATCGACGAAGTAGATTTAATTCAATCCGAATAAGTTTAAATAAAATGCAAGAAAAAATGCGTATAATTTAATATTCCGTACAAGGAAGTCATGTGGTATACACATCAGATTTTTTTCTTTTATTACTCAATGTATTCTTTTTTCTCTTCTTCGCTCATTCAGATACGCCGACCAGCGCCGAGCGGTAAAGTCGTTAAACACTGGTAGTTCCATGAATCGCATTTGGTCAATTTCTGTTTTCTCTTCTTATTTCCAACCTCTGCTCCTTGCGCAATATTATTCTTTTTTGTAAGTATATAGCCAAGCGGACAAGCTCCTCCCCTTTACACAGTTAACTCTTCTAGCTTTCATTTTCAGGCAATTGAAATGAGGCTTTCTGTTTTCCTCATATGTAAAGTGAATACGAGTAATTTTCTTTTAGAAAGCCCTTCAGGAAGTCAAGCATGGTCCTCTAGAAGTTTGGCTTCATAAATAATCTAATCTAATAATTTTACAGCCACATACGTAGACGATTTAACGACGTTTTTTACAATGTTTCTTGTAGTCTTATTCTGTCTGACATTCTTTCTATGATTCTTTTCTGTATTGAATTGGATAACCCTCTAGACTATGTGCACGTCTAAACTGTGGCGAAGTTCCTTTATCAATTTCTCATATCTCCTAAATCCCGCTCTGAATCTAATTACGTTACTCATTTTTTTCAAACACTCTCCCTGGAATTCAGATTTATTCTGCTTTATTCCTTCTTATTTCATCTGCAATTTTACTCTTTACTTATAAAGTCGTACTACTCTTTTTCTCACCCTTCTTTAAATTTGTTTATTTTTTTCAGTCTTGTCTCATGCTATCTAATAACGCTACTAGAAATGCTATACTAATTTTCTGGAAGTGATTTAATGAGGCATTTGAAGTTTCATTGGAAAGATGATCCTTCAGTAACCTAGCAAATAAATCAACTGAATATTATTAGTTTCACATCGAATTTGATTGCCAGAAAAATGGAGTTGCTAAATGGGTGTTTCGTGTTTTTCTTTATTTGATATTAATACAATTCAGTTTTCTTTAAAACAACAAATATGAAAAATACCTTCTTAAGGCCAATAGATAGCCCAAGTTTGCGTTAGTGTTATAAATTGCATTACACTTCTCTTCAGTAAAATGAGGAAACCTTTCCTATAGCTCCTTTTTATATCCGTTTTCCATCTAATACCGTCGAGTCATAGTCGTAACTCAAATCTTCCCGAAGCAATTTTTTTTTTGTTTTTGATCCTTTTCAATTCTTAAATGAAAAGATCTACGTTAGTCATATAAAAATGTTATTATTTTAACAATTGTAATTTTTCTGTTTTTACTTCAACTCGTAGTTTCGTGGAATGCTTTATGTTAAAATATGATTGCGAAATAGTACATCACTTTATGAATTACTGATCGACACAACAGTGATATGCAGATTACATTCTACTAAAGAGCGCTATGTTTGCTGTGAAAATTCAACATGTGGTTATCTATTGGCTAAATAAATTCTGGATCTTAACTCAGAAATATTTAAGCAAATATTATCAACTACTCTTTCGAAATCCAATGAAATAAGTTGAGACTTACAAAGCAGCATTTAAGTTTCTATTAAATGTTAATGTGCTATCCTGTCACCCTTATTTCCCTGCCATAATGTAAATTTCTATCATGCGCAATATTCATATTAGATATAAAGACTGAAGCACTTAAAGGAAGGCTTTGGAGGGTGAAATCAGAGCATGTTCTGCCTGCTTGATGGCCACGTTACTAATTTTGATTCTCTAGCGATCAGTATCTGTGGCTATGAACTATTCTTGCCCTTAGGCTTGTTTTAATTAAATTGTGAAGCCTTTAGGCTATACTTAAATTCCATTAATTTTAGTTTATCCATTATCTTTGATTTAAATCCAAAGTTATCGGCTTCTGCAAGCACGATTGTTGCTGTCTGTTAAACTTTATTTGGGTTAACAAAAGGATGCTTTACACCCTTTCCCTCTCTCTGTGGTCTATATAAGACACAGGAAAAATTTACAAGTTGTTTTTCAAAGTTCTGATCTAATTGTACGCTAGCTAAGAAGGCCAGATCTTATAGTCTAATATGAGATAAAAAATAAAAATAAAAACTTGTTCATCATTGTGCTTTTTAATCTATGTGATACGGTTGTAATCAGCTGTGTGTCTCACGGATGCTATTCGATATATCTAATTTTCGCCAGTGAAGCAAAGTGGGACAGAAGAAGATGAGATGATGTTTTTGATGCAGAAGAAACATGATGTAGTGTGCCTGCCCTGGCAAATATTCTGTTAAACATTAAACTCACTTTGTAATGCCCATTCTTCAGTGTTCGTCTGAAAAATATTATGAGCTCTCATATAAAAGCAAAAGCTTGTTTGTACGCTCAATGCTTATCACCTCTCCGTATTCTGTGTGGCACCTGTATGTGTTAACACTGCATTCAATATTTAACTAAATGTTAATAAAACATTACTCGTAACTTCAGAAAATGCCAATCTGCTACATGTAAGCGGAATTTAATGTAAGCAAAGAGTCATCAATAGTACATCAATCACTTGATCATATCACTTGCTTAAGCATATTAAAAGTCTAATAATTTCGCAGTTCTAATCTTGTCCGCAGTCTAATAATTTACACTGGATTCACTAAATCAACTCATATTTTAAAACCCTTGGTTTTATCCATTAATGTTTAATGTCACAAACGTAAAATTCCACGAACTAATCTCACTAGTAATCAAGTGGATAAAAACCCTGAACACTAGTATGTTAAACTGGGTTAAATCCTTTTTGAACAGGTTAGCTCTACGGGCCCTTTCGTGAATACGAATGCATTTTCCTTCGCGAGTCCTCCCCGAAGCCATCCTTTTCCTTAGGCAGATAGCCTTAATGGGCTTTGCAGTGACTGAGTCTAATCCATAATATAAGGTTAGGTTATTTGATTATGGTAAAACACAGATGGAATATCTGCCTAAAGAGAACTTTCTAAGGTTAACTGTCTCATATTCACGTTACACAAGGGGAAACTACGAAACCAACCATGCCGCCAGTCTGTTCGCTTGAGATCTAACCCTGAGTCTAACTTCTAGTATTCAGGTCTTTTAACCACTCAACCACTAGTCCGTGATCTTAGACTAAAAATAAATTAGTGATCTAGCTTTCAGAAATTCTTAAAAATAAGGTTTCATTGACAACACTTTGAAGAGAAAAATACGATTAGATTTTGAATTGATTAATTTATTTATTTATCTTCGTGCTATGTTTTGCTGCTCAGTAAGACACAATTAATTAACGAACATTGAAACGAGAAAGAAATGAATGCTAATTCTTTTATAAGCCATTTGAATGTACTAATAGCTAATCTGTTGCAGACTCTGCAGATATTATGTTATAAGATGGAAGATGCTGTCCCTAATTTTAATACTTGTTCACGTCTTAAATAAATAAATCAAGCCATTTCTAATCTGTAATATGTTTGCATTCAAATCATATTTTGAAGAAGAACCATATTTTGAAGTCTCCTTCTGCTATTTTATGGCTCTAGCTTGACGAGCTAACTTGAAACAAAACTCGTTTTTATAGGTTTATTAAATGTCGTTAGAACTGTTTTAAAAAGTGAAAATGGAATTAAGTCATTAAATCTCAGTTCAATAGAGCAGTAATAAGTCTTATTAGGTAAATAAGATGATAATGATTGTGTGGATAATGGACTCAGTTGGTGATACTTACAAGAGAATGCTTCAGTCAGAGAAGTGATTCGTCTTTGTAGGAATCTACAATTTAGTGTTTAATAATTATGAATGCTTCTCAAAAGAAGCGAACATAAAATGCATTTAGATACTGTCCTATCATACTTCCATTTGATAACTGGGTATAGTGTTCTAGAGATTAATTATTTATAAATAATTTGTACTTTTTGTTTTTAACTACCATCATATTGCAATTAGAGGAATCAAATACAAACCAATACGTATACCACACAGACATTCACATAAAACTGGCTTTTTAGAACTCAAAATCTAAAATCTAAAATATAATTCATAGCATACACAAAACACTAAATCTGAAATAAAAATGTAAATTAACTATTTTAATAATGATATTTCCTTTCTGCTGTCACTTATTCTTTCTTGTTTGTAACGCAGGTATCTCGTATTTTACCAGTGATAATTTAATCTTTGCTTTATGCATAAATTAAATCCCCATCTAAAATAAGTAATCACACAATTTAGCTACCTAAATTTTGTTAATGAAATATTAGTCTGAAGTATGCTTTATATTTTCAAATTTCAATTTTTGTTGTCTTGGAAATAATAAAATAAAAATCAAATGGTATCAGTAAAGCAAATTCTACTTTTAACTTACATATTTTCAAAGCACACGAGGAAAATAAGAGAAATATTTTGCTTATAATTTTGAGAATCACGATACAAGTGGTCATGTTAAAAAGACATAACTATATGTCCTTAATCTGATAGTTCTGATTAATTTTACATTATCTTCCTTCAATCTGTTGCTCTTTGTTTAGTTTTCAAGCACTGAAAAACGTCAAGGAAAAACAAAACACTAAATTTAAAACATAAATGTTTAATGCTTTATTGCATATCGTGCACATAAGTACTAAATGAATCCAACATCAATATGTTTAGAAAAGAATGAAATTTTGGTACAAAGTGCAAAACTTATTTCATAAATAGAACTGGACCATTACAGATTCTGACTAAACAAAAGTACGAAATTCTCGTAGTTACAAATAACAGTTTACTTATTTTCCTGCAGCTCAAAATTGCTGCAATAGTATATTTATTTCAGTTCATTACAGCTTTCGATTATTTGCTCTTTTAAATCAAAATCTTAGTCTTGACTAAGATGAAATAATTTCAATTGAAATCCACATCACGATCTCAAGATTCAAAGCTTTAAAATATAGAGTTAGAACTGCCTATGGCCTGTGTTCTAAGTTAGGACACTAACAAATTTAAATGAATCGCTTCTTTAAAAGTAATTAAAGCATTAAAAGTTCATTTAAATAATCCGATTATTTTTAGTATAAATTTAATTTCACATTACTTTCAATAATACAAAGTTCAATAATATTTTCAACTAAACAAACCTAAGTGAGACAAAAATTATTTTTAAATTGTCCATCTACAATGAAAATATTTTACCTACTGTAGTAGAAGATATTTTTATTTGATTGCGATGTGATGTTTTTTAATCTACTACAGATGTTTAAAAAATATGTATTAGGTAATGGATAGCTTTTTGATATGCTGAAATACAGAAGTTATTAAGAAAGATTAGCTTTACTCAGAATGTTTTCCCTCGCCCAGTTGCATTTTTTTATCATATTGCACATTACAGATACATTTTCTTGAACAACATGCAATAATCTGAACATTAAATTTTGAGAAAAATATTATATATTAACGATATTTCTAAAAATTGCGCTCTCGTATTCTATTTAAAGCTTCTTTTGATATTTTCTGTATTTTCACGGAAGAGCGCTTGAAAAAGCAAAATCTATTACGTATTAAAATGCTTCTCTAATAAAATAATATTTAAAGTTGCTTTTTGCTTAAAAGTTTGCAAAATCTTATATAAAATTTCATCATAAAGTAGCAAATCCTTCATATGCAACTGATTATTATTTCTTTGCAGTCCTCTGATTGCATCTCTTTCTCATATATGTCTAGAAATATACCTAGAAATCTATTAATTTTGCCTTTGTCTTTTGTTATAATTGGAAGGTAATAATTTATGCATTTATGCGTCTGTAAAATTTTAAATAAGAGACCATAAAAAAGCTAATAGATAAATAATATATACTCATTCCAATAAATCACATTTTTCATTTAAAATAAATAACCAACATAATCACTTTTTTTGGGGGGGGTACTACCTGATTTTATGAGATGTGATTCCTTTCTTATTATTGCTAGTTTAAGTAACCATAAAAAGCGGACAAGTATTAAGAAGGTAACAAAACTAATATAAATTGCATGTTTATAGTTCTTCCAAATTTAGTTTAAGTAAATTTCATATTTCAGAACTTAAGTTAAGCATTTCTAAAAAGGTATAAGATATTTTTAGATCCATTAAATTGCATTACAGATTTTTTCCTAAAGATTAAGAACTAAAAGCGTATTAAGCAATATCCTTCATTGCAAAACGAACGGACATTAATGTTATACCAGAAAAAAATGTGCATTTCATAGAATAAGACAAAAATGTTAAATATAGTTTGCATGCAATTACCCATTATATGAAGATATTGTTTTAAAGGTTTAGATCTTGAGGTTAAATACTATTCTTTTAACTTTCCTAAAAATTTCTCTGTTTTATTGATAAGATGCCGATAATTTGTGAATTTTAATTAATATATGTCTTAAATCCTACTTTGTATTAGTAACATGCTTTTTTCAATAATAATTAATATATCAAGTTTAATTGTGAATAATATTCATAATTTCTTGCAAGCGGGGCTTCTACATAGATTTTTCATCCTTAGTAACTACGAAAACATTTTCTGATAACTTTATTCGACTCTGTAAATTGAAACAAATCATTTCAAGAATACTCTCATTATTTAAACTTAAAACTCTTCGTTAATCTTAACTCGTCATTAGTCATTAACATTAATTGTCTAATTTTCGATATTCCAACTAGTTGCTAAAGAAATTTTTATTCTTCTCGCAGATTCGCAATTTGTAGATACCTTTCACTAGCAGTTGCTGATCAGTGTAATTATTATGCAAATATGTGTTAAATTTAATTGATTCTCAATATCTCTGATATATTTTAAAATTCAAATCTCAATTTATTAGTATAATTAATAACGACAACTTCACGAATTGATAATAGAAAATAAACTTTCAAAATCTACATGATTTCGATTAATCAAAATCAGTTGCAGACCAGTTCTATATGACAGATTTAAATCAGTGAATAAAACTTTAACAATTGATAGAAGACTCACACAAAGCTTATAAAGTCACATGAATTCGGTGTGAAATTACTTTTGGTTAGGTTCACAACACTATACATAATTATCACTTGTTTACACAAAATTGACATGTCATTGGCTATATTTACTCTTCACTCATCGTTATATAATACAATGGGCTGCTTATTCTAAGTAAATAAAGAAAGAAGAAGCCACGTTAGTGAATTTAATTGTACTAACTTAGTATGATGCAACATTCAAAATTCACAATTGCCAATTTATTGTTCAGAATTCTTTGAAAACCAACAGTTGAAATAATATTCATAACATCGGATATCACAATTATAATAAAATAATAACAAATAACTTTTTTAATTAGTGATATGATTTAAGATGTCCTTAGAGTTTTTGAAACAAGTCTTTTGTTATCTGTAACCACTGCATAACCAAACAAAGAATTTTCACAACCGTTCAACACCATAAACAAAACCTAACAATTAATAAAAATACTTCTTTTGTTCGTATACATGTTGCTAATGAACATTAGTGAGGGTAAGTTTAGTTATAATTTACATATTTAAAGTATTCTAAATTTATGTAGATTTTCAAAATGTCATCATAAGCGAAAAAAGTTCCTTTCTAAATTATAAGCTTTTCTGAGATTATCTAAGATACACAGATTTGACTTTTTAATTCACTTGAGAAACCATGATATATTTAATTAAATAAGCATTTTATATGCAAAAAGTAAAAAATATTAAAACCATGTAGCTTTATGCATTTCTGTAAGTCTCATAACATACAGAACCTTGCTTTTAATATTTTTTAAATATTTATCTCCCCAACACAGTCATGAAATAAAAGCAAAACTTAGGAAACACTTGAAAATTTAAATATATTTCTTTTTGATTCCTTTAAACTATATCTCAAATAAACTATATCCCTTAACTTATAATCTCAAATAAATATCGAATAAGAATTCATTAACATTAAAGGCTTATAAATAATAGTTAGGCATTAAAATTATGTATTTCACATTATGTAAATATGGCATTAGCGACTTCGACTTCGAAGTTTCCAACGACTGTATAAGAGAAAAACGTTTGTTAAACCGTTTTAAAAAAACACTCACTGTCAAGCCAATCCTCAAATTAGTGTTACATTTTGATCAATAAATTCAAAGAAGCAAAGGAAAATATAAATGCAAACTTAGATTATAATAGTTTTCTCTTTAAATAAATAATCCTGTCTTTTCTAAAGTACCACGCCACGCCAGTAATCTAAATGTTCATTTAAATCATGTCATCAGATGTAAAAATAATCCAAGTTTGCATTAAATACTCAATAGATAATCCCATCTTTCCTAAAGTAATAGGCCACGCCACTACTTTCTATGTTCAATATCATTAGATCGTGCCAATAGAAAAAATAAAAAAATTCAAGTCTTTGAAATTTAAATAGAGTATTCAAAATCAGTGGAATATAATTGGATCAGGATTTGATTCTCTGCAAAACATGAGTGGTAGGTTTTGCAGTTTACTCAGGAACAGTAGTATATGTGAAATTCTTTAACGTGAAAAGTTTTTAAAAAGAATGCAAATCCTGCAGCAATTAAATCTTCCTTCTCTGCTCAATAAAATTAGCAAATGTAATCGTTGTGAGGAATGTTGCATTATTCAAATTGTTTAAAATATTGAACCAAGATAACATATTTAAAATTTTGTTTAATATATTTTAAATTGATGAAATTTTATTTTTATTATAGCTTTACAATCAGGTTCCTCAAAATTATTTACTGGCATACCTGATGACCTATTTCCAATACTGACCTGGTCTGCAAAACAGTAATCTGCAACAGTAGGTTGCTGTTTCCAAAGTGAATACAATGTAGACTTCTTTAGAAAGCCCTCCCCTACCTTTAGTATAGATCTCGATTGTTTTGCTTTAATTTACTGCTTGCTCATTACCTGAGTTGTCAGATTAACTGCTTGCCCTTTACTTGAATTTAAAAAACACATCTTCGCCTGCTTTCCACTGGCATATAATTTCTAATTCATACGCTGTTCAGCATTTTAGAATTCAAAATGAAATGCATTCACTAATGTGGCTGCTGTGAGCATTACGCGCTACCATAGGTCGCAACCTTAATAAGCAATCCTGTTTTACACAACGATCAGCGTTTCAAAAATGTAAAGAAGTTAACAATCAACAACTCTAAATATGTATATAATTACATATCTATACCTATTATAGAGAACATATGTGATGTATGTTTTAGGCATAGATATAGATATGTATGGTTTTCACATTTTTCATTTATGAATAAAGTAATTTAAGCACATTGTAAATATTACTTAATTTACACACATTAAATAGCTCACTGTTATTTATAGTAAAATGGAGTGACATATCGTTTTCACTTATTCATATACAAAATCACTTTCGCACATTCAGTAGCAGGTGATTTTCCAAGCAAGTTTAAAAGGAACAAATAAAGAATAAAATCTTTGATATGATTTTAGAAGTTGCACAGCATTATTCTGCATTAGAAAAGCGTTCATTATTCTAGAAGTAGCCAAAAGAAATTTATTAACATTTTTAAAATAATCCAGTCCTAACTAATGAATTCTAAATTAAATAAAATTATACAGCGCTTAGTTTTTTAAAGAAACTTTGTCATAAGGTCAAAAGTATTTAACAGATAAAGAAATCTTAGGTGATAAAGTTCATAAATTTAAGAAAGTTGCTAAGAGCAAATTCACAAAAGAGCAGCCACATCAAGCAGAACAACAGCACATAGGCATACAAACTGGCATCGAACTATAAGCTACTCAGTTTCTAGAGAAATATTTTAATTAACAAGTTCACAACTTCGCAACATTACATCTGCTTAATACTGATTATATCTTCTATTAACCTTAGGACTTAACCTATTAAAAGATTTAAAACTGGAATTGTGAAAATTTGTTCATCAGTGTCAAAAACGCTTTCAGTGAGACCTGTTGACTTCACGATTAGAGTTTTCCGTTTGGAACAATCCGTGGCTTAAGCCCAGAATCACGTAATTTTTTATATTCTTAACAGCAATAAATTTCTTTATTTCAAATATCCGTTTATCATCCGACTTCAAAGCTCTTAAACCAAATATGAGCTGAATATATTGATATAAAAATAAACACAGTTCTTCATGCGTTTAAATTCGGTTCAATTTCCTAGATACGTTCAGAGATTTGACTAAGAGTTTTTGTATTGTGTAAACGTTTGATGTCTGTATAAAAGACAAAAATTTCTACAGGTCACTCCATTTCTTGCAATATCCAACAAATTCAAAAATTGAAGAGTTATCTCATAAAAGTTTCAGTTGTGAGTCTTACTCAGTTAGCTCATTCTTATAAAAACAACGGCATTTTATGATCACTAATTCTGAGAAAACTGCGACCAGTGTTCGCCGGCCTAAGGGAATGGGTTAGAAGACTAAAAATGATTTCAAAATTCAGTGTAAAAGATGGAATAATATTTACTCATTTTTATATTTAAGTACAAGCTGAATAAATAATAAGATTACAATAGCTAAATTTTGCACAAAAATTGCAAAACAACTTCAAGCTTAAAAATATTTTAGTATACATTTTAATATACCTATATAAATATATGTATATGCATATATATGTATATATGGTATGTTATATAATAAAACTGTTAATAATATTCTTAAAGGTTTTTTTACACAACGTGAGAAAACAAGTACATAAATGTTACTAGCTAAAGTTTCATATAAATAACTGCATGTATAATTCTGTATAAATATATTCAAAGTTACCACGAAAATATAAAGTCAAATTGAGCTAACCTGTATGAACGTCTGCAATGAAATATTTGTTCCAAATATTAAATATAAAATGATAACATACAGACTGAGATACTTAAAGAAAATTTGTTGATTTTTGAAAATGTAGCATAAATAATAACTTACAAAACCTTTGAAATGTTGCGCATTTTCAATTTTGGTTTGGTTTCGTCTTTGAGATTTCCCACTGTTTCACTTCTCCTTGTTTATCAGGAAAAGCATAAAATTTAAATTCGAATCTTGTTTAATAATTAATTATGTGACAGTCTCAGATGACTTGAATAGCTGGAATGACATTTGACATTCACTTAGAAACAAACAGATTTCCATATGGACATTAATTACGCATATCGGCGAACACTGGCTTATACAAAATGTATGTTTATACACGGTTGTCAGAGGGGATGGGAGAAATTTAGGGGCAACATAGCGGCGGATTAGTCTCTAGTTAATTATTTTAATGGCTTTGGTGCTTGTTCATGGTCTCGTGAAAATGAACTCATTGTAGTGATTCCACCTGTTCTCTTCACTATCCATGCCTGGTTTCATTGGCTCGCCAACTCCTCCACAGGAAGTACCGGAACCAGCTGCGGCTACGCATCTAAAACCAGCTTCTTGTAACATGTCGAAAGCCTGTTCGAGAAAGTTGTGCTTAAGAAAAAAACGAGCAGAGTATCGACAATCACTGCCTCGGTCTGGATCACGACTCTCATTAAGCGTTTCGCCAAACACTTCTCGACACAGATTCACACGGCCACTAACAAGGATTCGAGTTAACTTTCGAAATTTTACATCAGCCAAACCATCCCTACCAAAAGCAAAAGTACCACGGTACCCGATGATGATGTACCCTGCAGGGCCTGTTGGAGCTCCAGAAAGGGCAGGTGTCGGAGAAAAACGGACAGCGTTTGAAATCAAAGGTAAGTTGACAGCCGGAATGGCATCGAGTTTGGCTATGAGACCAGGAAGATTAAAATATTCGGCTTCATGTCTTAGTCTCCTTCTCTCGTGGAAATTTTCCGGCAAGACGATTTTCTGATCCCTTAGATAGTCTAAGATGTATCGGAACAGCACTCCGTCCCTATCTACGAAAAACTTGCCTTTTGAATCTCGGTACGGGCCAGATGAAATTGTCCCGCCAAAAATTTGTGCAAGCAAAGAGTTGGATTCTCTTGTCAAAGTTGCAAGGGATGTGGTATAGAAGACTCCACCAACGTTTAGCTCTATCACTGGGGGAAATTCAGATTCATCCCCTTCTTCAGTGCTAGTCGCCATTTCTGGTATCTACCAAAAAAACCCGCTTGTTTCTTTGTTGTGTAAAAAGATTTGCTCCCCTTGCAAAGTTACGAATCGCTCCCCTCCGTATTTAGTCAAGAGATCTGTTGGGAGGGGAAAACGGAGACTCCTGATGTGAAGGAATGTTCAACAGATGCTGAAGCATTCCCGGCGATGCATTGGGCTGTACGGTTCCAGATTCAGTGGATCATTCGTTTCTCTCTCTCCCCCTTTATTTATGAAGAGAGTATTTCGGAAAAATCGATATACGGAGAACTGAGTTGATACTGCCATCTGGTGATATCGTTTGACACCACAATAGCACCTCATTTTCGATCAACGTTTGCTCCTTGTTAAAATATATGATTTAATTTATGATAAAAATTTATTATAATGATTAAACGATTACTAATAAAACTAAATTTATTTATCAGCGAGTGTATTAGAAATTTTATTGTTTCAGAAAGACGTTTAAGGGCAAAGGCTAAAATTTCAACCTTTTTAACATTAAAACTATAAATTTTATATAAAATTTTATATTCTTTGCATAGAAGGTCTTCCAAAGGCAGAGTGAATAAATAATAGTTGGCTGGCATGGATTCTACTATTGGCTGAAATTAGCTCTAAGAATTGTTTCACGGTTTCCTTCATGAGCAATAGTACTATGAATCCTCTAGGAAAACTCTTTAAGTATCCTTTTTCATAAATGGCATATGTATATTTCTTGTAATTCTTAATACAGTTTCCAATAATGAACTATAATGAATTTGTAGACGGAATAATGAATTTGTAGACGGAAATAATTCATGAACGGCGCCATATTCAGTGAACAAAACTAATAGTAGTAACATGAAATTTATTTTGTTTTAGCAAATGCAGAAATCAAGGAGTAACAGAGAGTCGCTGAATAATTTCAAATTTAAAGAAACACAGTCTTTAAAAAACAATTAAAATGATGACATTGCACAATAAAACAAACCTTTTTTATTGAGAAACAGAAAAAAATTCAATGCTTTTATAAATATCTTCAAACACTGGGAAATATTTGGGCTGGAAAACTCGCAATGTTTCAGATGTATTAATGAAATATCTGATACGGACACCACGACTTCATTGTACAGCCTATTAAATTATACGCATTTTTTACTGCACTTCATTTAAACTTATTTCCTCGATTTATTCTAATTTAAGTAACTGATCTTCAAGCAAGTTGAAACTGACAAAAAAAATGCAGATTTTGGATTTAAACACTTCTGTAATAAGAAGTATATGGTTACGACCAACGACTGCGAAAATAAATATCGGGTAAGGACTTTTATGCTGGATAATTGGTTGGTATATATATATATAGTTACGTTTTGTATTGCTGATTGGAATAAAAAAGGGAGGTGCACAACTGGATATTATAGCAATCCCATATACAAAATTTCACCTTTCTGCGGCTAATCGTTTCTGAGTTATGCGTATATACTCATGCATATATACAGACGTCACAAAAAAATCCGTTTTGAATCCATTTCAAAACAACTTTACAATCTGTTTTGAAAAAAACAGTCCTTTATTCTCTTCGCACTTCACACAAAAAAAAAAAAAATAAATAAAAATCATCTAAATGAATTCGGGAACGGTCGAAAGGGATATTTCCGTTGAAGTATGATACCCGAAATCTTTTGCGATTACAATACTTCCCTTACTTTGTGCAAGAAAGTCAAAAAGGCATTGGAAAGTCCTACAGCGTGTCAAAGCAACACGGCCTTTCTAATTGGAAAACGACTAACCCAGCGACTAATAATTTTTCGCTGAAACTGCAGTGCCCACCGGTGGCGGAGAGCCAGCACCAATGAATATGTACAGAAGAAAATGCTGGCTGCATGAATTAGGTTAGGTTAAGCTATTTGATTGTGGTAAAGCAAACGAATACTATCTGTCATAACGGGAGGGATGCCTTCACGGATGGCTTTTGAAGAGAAACTGGCTCGTGTCCATATCACACATGGTAAACTTATAAGGTATTTCTCCCACTTTCCTAGCGTCCTTCGTGGTGTAGTGGTTCTGCACACTGGGCCGGTATTCCAGAGGTCCTTGGTTCGATTCCCGGCGAAGGCGGTTGCTAATTTTTCATCTCTCTGGCTTCCAAAAAAATCCAAATGACTCTACAAGTGGCGCTCGAACTAAAAGGGTTGTGGATGATGATTCTCCGCACCCAGGATTTGGCGACTACGTCCCCTAAAATCCTAGTCGCCCTTTAAAAAGGGAAGTATATAAGGTATTTCTCCCACTTTCCTAGCGTCCTTCGTGGTGTAGTGGTTCTGCACGCTGGGCCGGTATTCCAGAGATCCGTGGTTCGATTCCCGGCGAAGGCGGTTGCTAATTTTTCATCTTTTCTGCCTCTAAAAAAATCCTAATGACTCTACAAACTGAGGGCTACAAATATATAAAAGTTAAGTTTTTAGAGCTCCAAAGCAAATGTCAGGGTTTAATGCCTTATTCCAGGCTACTTATTTCACATGGTACTAACTGTAGATGTCGATAAACTGTATTCTCGGCAGGTATAGATCTGGCTAATTCCATTCTGTATTTTTTTAATAATGCTCCCCATATCTTCAATGTAGAAGGTTTTACATTTACAGCTCATCATACGCATGAATTTTTTATATGGAAAATGTTCACCAATGAAAAGTGAAGTCCGGTCAAAAATTATATGAAGTTTTGGCCTTCCGGATAAGATGAAAGGTAAAAACTAATTTTGTCACTTATCTGCTTTATCCAGTGTTCATTGAGAACACAATAATTTCCCCTGAGATACGTATGACTCTCAAGAAAACGTTCACTATCCTTAAAATCTTACGAAAGACCGAAGGAATGCAAAATTCCCCATTCAACAGAAAGAACTTGGAGAAGATTTTAAGCACTGAAGCAAAGGAAACTGATAAGGATAAAAAATTACCATTTCCTAAAGGAAGAATTTCTTGCATAGCCGCAATGTCATAAGTACCTGTTCACTATTTTCTCTTCTAGAACTTCGAGACTTTCTAAATTTCCACTACAGACTTGAACGAAATTCTTTTTGACAGCTCAACTAAAGAACTTAAATGGAATCAGGGAATTAAACTTTTTGATTCAGTGATCACAAATACCGTTATGATGCTTTAAAATATGTTGATTTTGTGTTTAGTTTTCCAACAACTATGTATTCCAGCAGCCTTACATAGTCTTTGTTTAGAATAAAAAAAATGGGAGTAACAATAAAAGAATAGTACCGTAAAAGTATATTCCGTTACCTTAATATGGATGGAGTATGAATCCTAACATCGTAAATCGATTCATATTAGTAAATTTTCAGTTAAAATGTGCAAATAGCCTGGAAAGCAATTAAAATTGTTTCAGTCGAAGATAAATTATCTGTATCTGATTTTCATGCATTTGGAGGCTTGCTAGTTCAGTGTAAAATAAAATTACTGTAATATGAAATTGGATGGGATTAAAACGTTCATTTTAAACCAGGTTTGCTATAGCGGGTTTTGATTGCATATGGCGATTAGCATTGGTAGTTCATTTTCTCAGTGGAACTTTAGAACTGATGGCAATAAATAAAAAATAACTTATTTTTTAACCCAAAGAAGCAGAATAATTCAAAGATGTTGATATCAGAAACCTTTCGGGATTCTAATTCAGACAGGACATATTTGAATTCACATCACATGTGCAGAATAACGGAGGTGTATAATATACACTGCTCAAAACAATTAAAGGATATTGTAAGTTTTATATAAAATAAAGATATAAGCGAAATTTTTTTTTCCGAAAATGGAAGAAGAGAATCACAAATGCAAATTTTTCTGATTTTCAAACTGTGGAGTATGCTAATTTTGAGTTCGACGTCAAAAACGTCGCTTCAGCAGCAGCGAATGAAATTTGACTTCTGAACAAAAGACAAAATTTGACAACTGAACAAAAGACAATGAAGACAAGGATGATCGCCATTCAGTGACTGCTTTGTTTCGATGAGTACGATGTCTCAGCGAAGTAATTTAACCGAATTTAGAAGCTTGGAGAGTTTTTGGTAGTTTAGAAGGGGGCCAAACTCAAGCCGAATTAGCGCAAGCCATTGGAGTATCGTCACAAAGTGTGAGTTCCAGGATCCTGGAACCGTTTTCTTGGAAACTGGAAGTGCAGGCCGAAGACCAGGGCAAGGTCGTAGACGGGCAACAACGCCCAATGAAGATCGTTATTTAGTGTTAACGACTCGGTGACACCGAAATCTGAATGCTACTCTTCTCCAACAACACCTTCGCTCGGCTACTGGCACCACGGTTTCAACTCAGACTGTCCGAAACCGACTCCATGGTGTAGGTATGTATGCTCGCCGATCGATGGTATGTGTTAGACTAACATCAAGGCATCGTCGCGACCGCAGGGAGTGGGCAACAGAGCATGTGAACTGGAGGAGAAATGAATGGAGCAATGTTCTTTTTTCTGACGAGTCCCGTTTTTCTGTTCATCCTGATAATAGGCGTATTTTCATCTGTAGGGACCGTGGCAGTAGGAATAATCCTGCGTTCGTGCACGAAAGTGTCAGATTTGGCGGTGGGGGAGTGTTGCTGTATGGTGGCATCTCCACTGACGGGCGCACAGACCTCTACATCATTCGAGATGGACCTCTGACTGGTCACCGATATAGGGATGAGATCCTCAGACCTATTGTAGTCTCTTACGCTGCAGCAATCGGAGATGACTTCATTTTAATGGACGATAACTGCAGGCCACATCGTGCTAACCTAGTGGAGGATTTCCTTTTCGAGGAAGGAATCGTACGAATGGAATGGCCAGCGTGTTTTCTAGACATGAATCCAATAGAGCACGTTTGGGACGCTCTAGGAAGACGAGTTGCTGGCCGCAAACCACCCCCACAAACTCTCCAAGAACTGGAAAGGGCTCTCTGGAAGAGTGGGACAGAATACCTCAACTCGTGATTAATAGCCTCATTGACTCAATGCCTCAAAGGTGTTCAACGTTGCTGGCCGTCCGTGGAAACCATACCCCCTACTGAAAATGATTTCCTTTGAAGAAAACACCTTTCCTTATTCTTTTTTCATATGCACAGATTGTGCTTTTTTCCTTTTGTACACAAATGCGCAAAAAATGCATTTTTTTCTGCCAAACATGTGTAATTTATTCTCATAT